CCGACATCGGGGAGCGCCCTGGCAGCGGGGGGCCAGCTCGAGCCGGGCACCTCTGCTCCACCACGCAACACCCTGCTCCTCGCGGCTCCGTGAGCTAGTCGGGCCGGGCTCTGAGGTTACACAGCCCAGGGATGCACACAAAGCAGGATAACACAGGAAAATGTTAGCAGGAAAATGCACCTTAAATTGGAAGAGCACAGAGTTCAAAACCGCCTGGCACGCTGGCATCCGAAGGTGGCAGAGAAAGGGGCACACCTCCAGCCTTGAGGTAGCCTTGAGAATGCAATATTGCAGCCTGCAAACATCCAGCCCCCAGCTGGAAACACAATTCATGTTCCCAGCCTGTTTCTAGCTTGTGTCTTAAAAAAAAACAGAAACATAAAATGTTTTTTGAGAACTTGAAACTAATAGTAAATCATTTGATCATTACCTTTCCAGCTTAACCTCTTAGTCATGTTAGCCTTACTGATAAATGATGTTCTGGGTCTTGTGGGGTTTAGATATCCATCTAGCCAAGAAATTCGTTTCAAAATAAGGTTTCTTTTGCCTAGTGTTCAGAAATACGTAATACGTATTCAGTAAAATTTAAATGTAATGGTAACTACATAGCCAGAAATATCCAATTATTATCTGAAAACCAAATCTATTATCCAAAATATAAAACCAATCTATTATCTGAAAGGGGTTTTTTAATCATTGGAGTGTTTCTATTCCATTTGTATACTACAGACTGTTAAAGTAAGATGGAAAGGGTGAGCTTTCGTATCATAAGAAATAATGAAATTACAATTTCATATGAAGTATTATCCTGTCCCTCTTCTCTAGAGGTGTGATTTAATGAAATCCTTGCTACTGTGTTTGTGCTAAACATTGCCAGCTTCACCTACAATATTGCTTATTTCTTTTTCAAGGACATGAAGTGGATTGAGGAGAAGCAAGCATTGTATAGAAGAAATCAAGAACTGGTAGAAAAGGTGTCCAATGTTTCTATTTGTATTATTCAAAGAGTACTTACAGCTTAAGGAATGCAGAAGGTGCAATATTTTAATCTGTATCACACAGCTTTACTGGGATAATTCACATATAGTAATAAGGTGCTTATAATCCTGCCAAAAAAAGTGGGTTTCTGGCATTCCCTATTGCCCCATAAAATGGGTGTGAGGACGTGGTTGTGGGCAAAAGCCCTGGGTTCCCCCAGCACTTGTGCTGACCCTGGGGGTGGGCTGGGACCCCCGGCGCTCACGCTGACCTCGGCGTTTCCCCGGCACGGTCAACGCGCGGCAGATCTCGAGTGACGCTCTGCAAACAGCGCTAACACGTGTTGCTTTATTTTGCAGATCAAACAAATGGAAGCCGAGGAAGCTCGCTTAAAGCATGATGTCCAGGACGTGAAGGATCAAAACGAGCTCCTGGAGTTCAGGATCTTGGAGCTTGAAGTGAGCACGTGTTGCAGCCGCGGTCCTGCCCGCCTGCCCTGGGCTGTGCGAGCTGTGGCTGAGGGCACTGCAGCGTTGGGAACTCGCCACGTTTGCTCCAAAGAGCTGCTTTGCACTGAGCAAGACCAGAGAGTTTGGAACAGAGTGCTAATAAAAGAGAAAAAAAAACAAACACACACCCTGGGATCAACACCGGTGTTCTTGATAGTTGTTCTGGCAGTCTTACTGCTTAAGTAATTTTAAGATCCAGAAGATTGGCTCGTGGTGTAGATACACATTTTACTATACTCCATCTGTTCTGAAAATGCAAAGAGATAAAACCAGAGTGGATCAGATATAGGAAAAAAAAAAAGAAAAAGGAACTTTTTTTCATTGCCAAAAGTCATTGCAGTGTTTCACCTCTTGCTAAACGTGCAGAGAAGGAATCCCTTGGCCCAGGCTGCCCTATTTGCTCCACGGAGCCTTCTGTTTCCCGTGTTGTTACCTGTATAAACAGAATCTGTAAGTGCTTGGAAGCTGTTTTCCAAATTCTCCAAAGAGAGGTTAACCAAGCAGTCACTTACAAGAAAAATGTAAATGCTATTGATATTATACTAGGTGCGTATAGTTCCGTTCAGATATGTTGTGTAGTCAAAATCATAGGGAAGTGGTCGTGATCGGTGCCCAGTGAAGAAGCATCCTGGGAAAACATCAACACTGCTCATGTGTGCACGCACCCTGCTTTGCAGTGAGGTGCAGGTCTGCCCTGTCGGCCCTGGGCACCCTCACAAAAACACATGGTCTGGCCAGAGCAGCGGCTCCTGCTCCGGGCTGGTCGTGCCCGTAGCCGCAGGGTGCGGGAGAGGGATTTCCGTGCTCCGTGCAGAAGGCGGCCGCGCTGCGAGAGCATCGCTTCGCCGTGGCTGCGGTTGGAGCGGGCCTTTTGCTAACGGGTTCGTCAAGTTCCCGGTGAAGCTGTCGTTGCTGACGTACCACAGTGGGTAACCGAGCAATTGTTGTCGTTTCAGGAGAGAGAAAGGCGATCGCCTGCCATCAACTTCCATCACGGTCCTTTCACGGAGGGGAAGAGCCCTCTCCAAGTCTACTGCGAGGCAGAAGGTGTAACAGTAAGGGCTTCTCGTTTCGTACTTTCCTTCCCCTAAAGAAACCCAGACGCTCTGTTCTGACTCCTGGTTTTCCGTTTCTCTCTTGTTAGGACATAGTAGTAGCAGAGCTGATGAAAAAATTGGACATTTTAGGGGATAACGCCGTAAGTGTATGTTCCTTTAATAAATTGTGCATGCTTTGGTAAATATTTGTCCTCGTGTGAAGTTAGCAAAGCCGTCTTGCTTTGCTACTGCACAGCCTGTCCTCCCTGTGGTCGAAGCACTGGCCTACCAGCTAAGCGTTTTCTGGCTTTTTAAGATTTTGTTAATAGCCTTCTGACGAGTGCCACGCAGGATTTTGGTATCACAACATTGCTTTTAATTTTTCAGTTATTTGGAAAATATTGTGAGACTTTGGTGTTTGTTTTTTCTTCTGGCCGCTCTTCACACATGGTTTCTTCATTTGCTCACTCTGCATTTGCTTTGCTTTTGCATTTTAACAGCTGTGTGTTTTAATTTGGTCTAATAACCCAGAAACCTTTGACAGTAACCAGGATATTAAGCTAAAAGTTACGGTACTAGTGTTGTCTTCAGTGGAATTATTAATGTCAGGTTAGTCCCACACGGAGTGTTTTGTGGCAGTGTTCCCAGCAGGCAACTTAGAGACAAACAGGGACAGAAACAGTGATGGCTTTATCAGGTTTTCTATTCCCTTTCTTTTCCTCTTGGCTTCTTTATTTATATTAATGATCTCTAGTCTATAATGTTATTTCCTCCTGATTTATTTTTTTTCCCTACTGCATACAACAACTGACTTCCAGATGCAACACAAGGCGAAGTTCCCAGTTCTCTACTCAGCTTTAAGCTAACTGTAGACCGTTGTTATCACTTCTTTTTCTCTTGTTCTCCCATGTTTGACATCACAGGCTCAGCCACCGATGGCAGACTCTGCCCCGTGGATGCACGTTGTCCTGCCTGGCTGTTAGGGAAAGGCACCCCGTGTCCCACCGGTGTGCAAGTGATCCCATCCTTTTCCGTGCATTTTCTCACTTGCGTTTCTGTAAAGCACCTCCAGCAGCTTCTAGCTGCTTCCCGCTGAACTGCCATGAGTTGAATATGGCTTTGAGTAAGGCAGACCCGTGCGAGAGTACCCTAGGAGTAGAGCAGGAGCAAAGGCCAGAGGGTGTCAGTGGGGACAGGCACAGAGGAACGCGGGTGCCCTCCTCTTCCCCCAGGCAGGGGAGGCAGGTCAGGGCAGAACTCACACAACAGGAAACAGCACCGCTAACATACTGTGTGGATGGTTTCATTTTTAATGTAACATGACTTGTTTTATTAAATAATTACCCATGTTTATGGAAGAGACAGTTTTCAGGTGTCCTTGGGAAAAGTCTCCTCCCATCCCTACCAGATAGCACTTTCACTGTCCCCAGCCTTGAGCAGTAAATTGGAGCCCACCGTAGTCACCGTTCTCACCAGCTTCCTGAGTACCCTGTGGGAATGGTGACTAATGGCTCTCTGGGTCTGGACAAACGCAGGTCCCAAACCAGAAGGATTCACTTCTACTGTAGATGTGGTCAGAGTAAGACCAAAGTTTGGGGTGAAATGCAAAGCATACTTTCAGTACTTTGATTTTTAAAAAAGCAGCAAAACATGGATTGAATAGCTAACATCTTAACAAATGTTTTCAAAAGTCATGACTTGGCCGTGTAAAATAAGGATTGTGTATTAACCTCCTGTGCACATAATGAACTTAAGGGTTGAAGGCTGCATCTCTTTCCTCAATGGCATATTGTCTTAAGCTTCATCTTGTCTTGTGTAACTGTGTTTATGTCCTTTTGGGTAAAAATAGATCCAGTGTCACCTTTTTTTTTTTTGTAAATGTGAGAATTTTAGACGAATTAACTATATGTAGGATAAGAATTCAGCATGAATAGTTACAATTGTTTTTAGAACAATGTTGCATTATAACACCAATTTTCTTTTCCTTAGTTTATTGTTCCTCGAACATATTTAATTTCATATTTATTTAATACAGCAGTGGCCCAAGTAGTGGATTAATAACAAGACACTGGGATTTGTTGTAATTATATTCTGCTTTTGGCGCAGAATCTGACCAATGAAGAGCAAGTAGTTGTCATACAAGCAAGGACAGTTCTCACCTTGGCTGAAAAGGTAACAGCAACTGCATCACTTAGCAGTAAACTCGTGTCATGAGAGCATTTTCCCCTCTTGGAATAGCTCACTTGAAGACACTGGTGATGTAAATGATAGCTTCATCACAAAATGCCATGATCCTTCATGTAGAATTACACTTACACTAGTTTTTGTCAAAATAAAGGTAACATTCAGGCAATACAGGCACATGTTGCTTATTTTAAAATGTTACTGAAGTAGCAAAATGGTGTTAGAAAGTAAATGGCTAGGCTTTGAAAGAATGCTTTTTTCCATCACCAATACATATATATAATAACATAGTGAATTTTTCATCTTTTATTTGGTGAATTTAAGTAAGTGCTTTGATTGTGTGCTGACACACCCTAGAGCCACAGCGAAAGCTGAACACGCAGGCGTGCTGCCTCTGCTCCTTAGGCCTAAGCACCTGCCCTCTGTTTTGTGCGCAGTGGCTACAGCAGATCGAAGTGACGGAGTCTGCGCTGCAGCAGAAGATGCTGGACCTGGAGAATGAAAAGGTACCGAGAGCCGAGGGGAGCGGGCGGGCGGCGGGGCGGTGGGAAGAGCCGTCGTGCTGGGGCCGTGGCACTGCCTGCCTCTTCCCTGTGTCCCCAGGAGCTGTTCAGCAAGCAGAAGGGCTACCTGGATGATGAGCTCGACTTCAGGAAACAGTCCTTGGACCAGGCTCACAAGGTGAGGAAGACCACCCTTGAGCAGATCATGACATCTTGTTTAACTTACCTTGTGGAATGTGGGTCATCTGTTCTCGGTCCGACAGTTCTGCTCGTGGAATGACCCGAGGACTAAATAGGCTGAATTTTAAACAAATCCTCTATACCCTGCGCCACCAATGAGTTCCTTAGGGACAGTGTTCCTTGCCTTTGGGTGGTCCTTGCAGGATTGGGACCTGAACGTTAACTTATTAAACACAAGCTTTAATTTAGCAGAGGTTTCAGTGAATGGCTGATAAGAAAATGGTGTTTTCAGTAACTTCTCTTTTCCCTCCAAAATAGAGATTTTAGCCTAGACGTTTCCTTGGGTCTTAGATTACAGCCTCTGTAACCAAAACAGCTGGAGGGATTATGTGATTCTGTAAATTTGAAATAAAACTGCTTTTAGGTCAGGTTCATCATTAGCTGATCCTAAGCTGGTTCAACCACCTCTTCAGTCATCAGCTGTCGTGCTTCCTTCAGTTAAAGTTCAATATGTACTTATGAAAGAGATAAAAGCATAGATTTTCATATTGATTTATCTCGTTCTTTCAGTTCTATTTAAATCTCGAGCACAGTTACACTTTCTGAAAAGCAGTGAGCGTTTATGCCTCTTTTTCTGGATACCTGTCATCTGTCTGTGTCTCAAACGATTTGGGAGAGCTTTTACTCAGTACACTTTCTGTCCTGGAAGGATGATCTTGAAGACTGATTTTGCCAAATGCTGAGCCATATCTGGAACCAAAGTCTATGCACAGTGGAAACCCAGGGAAGTACACAAGCTCCCCCGTAGCTGTGGTCTCAGCCCGAACACCAGATGATCTCCTGCAGCCTTGAGCTGTTCCAAGAAGCAGTTTGGTGCAGCCAAAGGCTCAGCCTGTAGAATTCATCTTCAAAGATAAGCCCTGAGAGAGGTGATCCTCTGGCCAGTTCTGAAACAGATCTGTAAATCTGAGTATGCAGAAACTTGCAACAGCAGCAAAGTGGGAAGAATCATATGGCATCGCTCGAGACCCCGGGTAACGTCGTGGAGTCTGCAGGAGAGCTCAGGCGCAGCGCTGGGCTGTACCCCTGCAGCTCACGGCCAGCGCTCGCCCTCTGTCCGTGAGATGGACCTCCAGTTCTAGGATCCCAAATTTACCAACGGGTCCAACAACAACTGGCTCCTTGGCTCTGCTGCTCGCGGAGAGGGAACGAGCGTAATGAGTGTGCTGCAGCCCATGCAGAAGGAGTGAGGGTTATTTGCATTTTCCTGTATTATTTCAAGGCATCACGCGGGCGTCCCAGGGCAAAACAACGGGCTTTACTCCCGGGCACAAACGCAGCCTGAGAGCAGCAAGAAAGCTTTGTTCTGCCCCAGAACTCGAGTGGCAAAAGCTCTTTTGATTTGTATGGTTTGTTTCGCTTCCATGTTTCCTTTGTGCCCCTCGGGATGAGGAGCCACTAATCTTCCCCCGCTAACTACAGCCAACAAGATTACCAGCTGGAACCGCCAAGCTTTTTGCACGGTTTTCACTCCCTCTGGTTGCCGATGGGATTTTGCTCCAAGAAGCACTTGGCTCATACAGAGGCTCCTGACACTGCTGCTGCTCTGGAGACTGGGAATTTCCCTGCACTCTTCTTTCTTCACAAGTCAATATAATCAGAGAGGGATAATGGTTTATAATGGAGGTTTGGAGCGCAACAGAAATCCATATTTCAAATAACAGCATTTTGTTGAGACAGTTACGGTTAGCAAGGATGTTGACATTATTTTTAAAAGTGAAAGCAGCGTCTTCTTCTGAGTTCTGATCTGATCTTCCCCACAGAGATACCATGGCTGCTGTCTTTTAGTTATCATCATATCCATAACTCCTGCCATGACGTTATTTGTTCTTGTGAATGCATGTCTTCTTCTGTCCTGACTCTGCTAAGACATGGTAAGAAAACACCACCAGCAGCTTCAGGTGGAAAAACTTGACGATCCCAAATTGAGCTGAATTCTCACAGCAGACACCTGTGGCATTTTCAAACAGCCTCCCGAGAGGTTCGAGCCGCACTGTCGCAGCAGTCCGGCTCTCCTGAGGCCACAGAGAGCTCTGCAAGACACCACCAGCTTTGGAGAGGGTGTGCGAAGGTGCCATCAATTGCTGCTTTGTCTCTTGCTCTGTATCAAACTTGCTGGGAAAGATTGTGTCTTCTTTTTGGCCTGCATGAAGGAATAGCATTCATCCTGGACTTTGAAGCAGAAGACATTGTCTGGCAAGGCCACCTGCCCTGGGAGGGGACCAGGCTCCGTGGCCCTGGGGAAACATTTCCAGTCCATTTTCAACATGCTTCTGTATCTCAGTGAATCTGGAGCGTACATCCATCAGCGTGAGGGACGTTTTCTGATGCAGTGAAGTAAAGGCTCCGCAGCCTGAGACTGCAGGAGCAGAGCCCAGCTACCAGATGTATTCTTCCAGGGCGTAAAGCCTCCTGGAGCTGGCAGCTCTGCCAGAGGAAGTGCTGGAAATGCCTCCACGCGAGGCAGCTTAAGCTACTTGGTACAGGATGCTGTTGGCACACAAGAGGGAGTCATTCCTTTCTGGCAGGAGGATGAGCTGGTGCCGTATCCCCTGTGCTGCTGACAGAACAGCTGGGAAAGGGGAGCTGAGAGGCTCATTGCATTTAGAAAACCATCTGTAACTCACAAAATGAGTCTTTTATGAATCCCTTTTCCTTCTCTTTCCCCTTTTTGTCTTTTCCTTTTCTCCAGAAAGGAGGAGTTGGCACCCATGTGCTCTCTGCGAGGCAGAGCAGGCTGGGCCAGGGTGGTCCCGCTCCCCGTGCTGCCCGCAGCCCCACAGCACAAAGGCAGCCAGAGACGTTCCCCCAGTTCCCCCAGTTCCCCCGGGCCTGAGCTCTCTGCTCAGCACACAACCCCTCCACCATTCCCATTGCCTTACCGGGGTAGGATTTTCAGTTCCTCACAAAATCCTCATCTGACCCGAGACAAAGTCAAGCTGACAGCTTTATATTGTTTTTGATTAGCAAATTCTGGAATTAGAAGCCATGCTCTATGATGCCCTGCAGCAAGAAGCTGGAGCCAAAATTTCCGAACTTCTTTCAGAAGAGGAAAAAGAGAAACTGAAGACTGCCGTAGAGCAATGGAAGCGGCAGGTCATGAGTGAGCTCCGGGAGAGGGACGCCCAAATCCTGCGGGAAAGGATGGAGCTCATTCAGCACGCACAGCAGGTAGGCGCCAGTGCACGGGCACGGCCAGAGTCAGGGTGGGATGGTCCCTCAGATGGAAACGTAACGGAGTTCTGAGCACCAGCCTCTCCTCATAGAGCTGTACCAGAAATGCTGGTCCTGGGGCCCGCATCTGACTTGCCATGGATAATCCCTGCAAACTGGGCATTTTGGTTTTCATGAATTCGTCACGCACAGTGGCATTCAGAGAGAACTCATCTGCAGCTTAAAGCCCAATTTATTGTTTTTCCGAAGCACAGCACATACAATTTATATCTCCAAAAATAATGCATCTTCTGGGTACATCTGTATTTGGTTGGTTAATAAGTATTTTTTTTATTTGAAATCTGACAGAGAATTAAAGAGCTAGAAGAAAGAATTGAAGGCCAAAAAAGACAAATAAAAGAGTTAGAGGAAAAGGTAAGGTAATGCAGATGAAACAGTTATTGTGTGTGCACATGACCACGTATTCATTTCACCTTGGCTAAGAAAACAATCGTATAAAACGTTTCTGCGTGTTAGCGCAGTGAGCTGATGCGGGAGCGTGGCAGGAAACCTTTGGCACTTGCGTTGCTCCCTTTGAGAAGGAAAAGTTACCAGCTTAGATTGGATCTTTCCTTCTCTTATCCTTCAGCAAAGTCTGAACCACAGGACTCGGCAGGGATGCGGGGGTCCATCCGCCCTGGGAAGGGGGTGATGGAGAGCCGCCGGATAGCTGAGGGGTGAGGTGAAGGTGTGCTCCAGTGAAGGAGCCACGGGTCAGTTCTCCCTCCTGTCTCCAGCATTTGCATTAGGAGACATCTTCTCCCCTCCTTCTCTCCTCTGCTCACCGGCAGCCGCAGCAGCTACTGTCACCGGGCAGAACGGGGGGTTGTGCCAGCGAGCTTTGCTCTGGCCAAGCCATCACTGTTGGATTTGACCCTAAAATTAACCTCGTGTGAAACCATCTGTTTCACGGGAAGTTGCGATGGGAGAACTTGTTCAGGTACAACAGGGGCTGAGCTGGACTTTCACCTGAAACTAAACCCAAACCTTAGCAGTGTGGGTTTGAGGTGTTTTTTTGAGGTATCAGAAGAATTCAGCTAATTTTTTTCCTGCTCGTTTTTCGTGAGCCCTTGGTGTGACTGGGCTGGGCTCCGCTGGGGCGGGAGGCGACTCTCATCCATCCGAGGGATGCTCTGGCTGAGCCGCGCCGAGCCCCGAGCCCTTGGGGCTTATTTCACACTTTATATTTCTTCTCAATTGAAAGTTTTGTTGCACTCTGTAACCACAGCTTTTTTCTCAGCTAAACACACTGTAAACTCTTACTCTCTTTCTTCTCTTCCATTTTCTCCTCTCCTCCCTCCCCTTTTCAGTTTTTATTTTTGTTTTTATTTTTCTCTTTAGCTTTCATTCTTTGGTCATAGTCCTTCAGGCCACACACAAAAGGTAAGCCCTCGGATCACCTCTGGTCTCCTCTCCTCTTCTTGTAAAGCATCAGAGCCTTCTCCTCACTGCTCAGGCTGCGGCAGTATTGGGGGGGGTCTCCTGGGTGCCCCAGGTAATCCCAAACTGGAAATCTCTAAAGCCACCATGCCTTCTCCTCGCCCAGCTGGGCTGTCTGGCACACTGACAGCTGGACTACACCCCTCGCGTTAGCTTGTCCTGTCTTTCAGCCCAAACAACCAGAATGGGTTGAGAGGGACATGAATTTATCAATGTATGTTTCTCCCAGCATCATGCCTTAAGGCCTTAGATACTGCCCAGCCCTGCCTTTTTTCCCATGTAAATAGGAGACAAAATGCCAGTTGGCTTGTGCTTCCAGAGATGGCAGAAATTACCTCGTCACGGGTGGCACTGAGGGGAACATTCCCTATCAGTCAACAAAGTCGACAGAATATAGCACAAATCCTTTTTTATCAGTTGTACAACTCAAACAGAGAGTTGTAAATACAAACCTTACAGAAATTTCATGCCTGTTATTTTTGCCCGGATATACCTTTTCTGATCCATGTTATTATATCTTTTTCTTGTTTCAGCCTACTGAGGAAGCTACAATTGCTCCTGCTGTCATCAACGGGAAGACCACGTTGATGACCAGGACAGAAAAAGAGACATTGCCATTTCAGAAACCCCTAACATCTCTCCTATTTTGCTACTGGAGATGGAAGACGCGATCTTTCTGACCCTTTTAGACTGACGCCGAAATAGGGTACGTGGAAATTTCTGCACGGGTGGCGTCTGCACCACGGAAACCTCTGTCGGAGCATTTTGCAAAGCTGGAACTGAGCCGACAAAGAAGAAAGCCAAAAACCCCCTCCTCTCCTACGGCCACAGGCTCCTTCCTGGAGTCCTGGCTCTGCTGCTTGAAACAGCTCTCAGCTTTGCACAAGGAGCAGTATACTGATTCAGATAAACTGGATGTATTTTGGTTCCCTGCTAAGCAGGTAGTAAATTGCTTCTCTGTAGAAGTGGCCATGTCCTGTTTTGTATGTCACGCATTTATATTTGTTCCTCATATTTATTTAAAAACCTGTCTTGAAAGAAGATTTTAGGAAGAGTTCCAGAGGAGTAACTCACAAAAAGATAAATGTGAATGAAAGGGATGTGTTTTGTTCCAAAGTATTTCATCGTAACACAGAGTATGTCCGATGGTTTGTTGAATATCCAGAAAGCCCAGTTTTAGGGAAAAACGTGAAGCTGTGTTTGAACCCTTCAAGAAATCAAGTTGTAATTTTTTTTTGAGTTTTCGGTAGACCATGACCCACAGCACGATGAGAAAAACGGCACAATAATTTTTAATTCACTGTCCCTGAATGATGACAAAGGACTTAACATTCTTCCAACAAAAAGTTCAACCTGGAATAGAGTGAATGGAAAACACGTTATCCCTGATCCGCACGGTCTGGGCTGGGGGAGGCAGCAGGAGGGAACAGAAGATTTTGTCGCCTTGAGTCAGGGGAGCACAAGTACCGCAGGGCCCGAGCCCGGGAGGCTAGCGCAGGAGCTGGGAAGGAAAAACGCCTCCTCCGGAAAAACAAGTGAAGGAGGGAAAATCCAGAAGAAATCCCACCGACGTGTCACCAGGTGGGACCTGCAGCACAAACCTGGGGCTGCCGGGAAGGGCAGGAACAAGCGCCCGTCCACAGCCGCGACGGAGGTCCCAGAGGTGTGGGATGCGGTGGGAACTGCCCGGCCCTTGGAAGCACGAGGCAGGAAGCAACACCAGAGTTCCCAATGGTAAGTCTGATTAACTGGAAACCCATTTATTCCATAATTATCTATACTGTGTAATGTCCTTTACGTGGCTGTTAGTCCCTCTTGTGCAAGTTAAAATGTTTCTGATGATAACGCAGAGAAAATTTTAAAATGACCAAAGACTTTATGTAAACATTATTTATTTCTCTCTGGTTTGCTTTAGTAATTTAGGTATTGAATTCAGTGTGATGTAATCACAAGTGCTAACCTCATTTCTTCTGATCAGTGGTCACTCTTGGCAAAAAATTACTGGGTAGGTAATGAAATAGGCCGCCAAGTTTGTATGAATAGCAAGCAGTCATGCTTGCTTATATTTAAAATGCTTATATTTAAAATGTATATTTTAAATGCAGGAGATGAAAATAGTTTTCATTTTGGATTGAAAAGACAAACATTATTCAGAAAAGTTTTAATTCACAATTTCGCTTACTTTTTTTCTAATTTATGCTGGTAATGAGTTGTTTGCCTGGTAAACGTGATGGGGACCTAGCGACAGTCACTGGAACTGTCTTTTTTTAAGAATATTTAAGAATACAGGGATGTTAAAGGTGGGACCAGAACCCAGCTAGACAGCTGACGAGAAATCGCTGCTGCCACAGCCTGGGAGAGTTTGTGGTGCCCAGGAAGACCAGTGCTTACTGGACTCTGTTATCTCTCCCCCCAGATGAGGGAAAATAGTCAAATCTCAAAAATACCCTGAAAACAGCCACTCCTGCAATTAGTGCTCAGGATAACTCAATCAACAGGCAAACCAACACGCAAATCGGAGCCCTCATGATGGCACTTGGAGGCTATTTCTCTGGTGGGGTTTGCTGGGGCTGTCCCAGCACTTGTTAACGTTATATTTTTATATCTAATGCTTCTCACAGCGTGCTTGTTTCTGCTTTAAAGGAGAAATTGTCTCTCTACACTTCATCTGATCAGTTTTCTTTTCTTCTTTTTTTTTTCCCCAAATAGTTTTTCTAAGCAGAATGTCTGTCAAATCTGAGTTTGAACACCTCTCAGGTCTTAAGGTGTTTGACTGCAGGTTATTGATGTGCTGCTCTAGCTGGGATTGCTGCTTTTAAAACCAGTCAGACGTAGGATGTCTGGGTACAGAGGGATGCCTACAGGGAGTCTTAGAAATTATTTGTCTTCCGTGGGGTGTCACGGAGGTAAGCTGTGCCCAGGGTTAGATTTGACGACGCCCGCTCTTCTTCAAAACTTGCAGTTGTGCATCTCAGCCCTGCTAGTTTTCAGAGAGCAGCCAAAATCCTTCGTGTCCATCAGTGTCACACCAGTCTCCAAGGGGCGGGAGTTTGCTGGGCAGTAAGGTCGAGGAGATCTATGTGCTTAGTAACCCGAAAAAGAACCTTAATGCAGTAAAAGGAGGGAAATAATCTAAATTGTGGAACGATGGAGATGAGTTTACGACAATAGGAGGGCTTTTTAAAAACAAGAACAGATTTACAAAGATGGCAAACAAACCAAGAAGACAGACTTACCCAAATCTTTCTTTCACGTGAACCTTTCCGGGAGCGTTGGCGGGAGGGTGGTTAACCTCCGGGTCTCAGACTGCTCCGCCTTGCTGCGTGGAGGCATTTTGGACACTTGCTGAAGCAAAAATCAAGTGCTCAGGCATGGGGTTGGCAAACCTATGGACTCAGAGTTGGGGTATCTTAATGTGTGCCTATTCTTAGAGGCATTCGGGATAACGTCGTTGCACCCTGAACACACCTCCGTGTCTCAGCAGTGCTCGTGCATAGCAGGAATCCCCCCGTGGCACAACCTCTGGCCGTGGCGAAGGCTGACGGGTGGGTGGGAGCTGGGGCAGAGGATGCTGGAGGGGTCCCCCCCAGCCGTTCCCAGCGGGGTGCCCAGGGCAGCCCAGGGTGTGCCAGAACGTGCTCTGGAGAAATGGGAAAGGAAGGGAGAAGTGTGGAACAGGGATCACAGGCTGCGAGCGACATCTTGATATAAATATGTGCCCACCCGGGCGGTGGGCAGCGGGGCTGGGCACAGCGGGGGCACCCGGGGGTGCCACCCTGTCCGTCACCCCTCCGCGGGAGGGTGCTGCAGGCAAAAAGGAGCTGGAAATGCCTGTGCTGGGGGGTTGTAAACTGCTGCTTTAGGGGCTGCTTCGTTGGTTTGAGCAGTTTTAGGAAGTTGCTGTAGGCGGTTTCCTTATTTTTCGGTGCGTGTGTCAGTCGTATTGGAGATTGGAGACTCCCAGGGAGAGGTAGCACTCGCATATTTCCAAATAAATAAGTTGTCAGTTAAACTAGGATAAGTTTTTCTTGATTTTAACTTTTACATTTATAGAAGGGCTTGAGCATCCCAAAATTTGTCATCTTTTTCCCAATTATCTTGCTTTAATTAAAAAAAAATATTTATTATAACTCTACTTGATGTTTATTCGTTCAAAAGAAGCAACATCTGATAAAGATAAGTAGCATTTTAAAAGAGTTCTACTTGGAAACTGAACATTCCTGTTCTGTCATAAAACCTGCTATTTCTTCACTTTGTGTCAGGCATAGAAGTGGGTGCTGCTGCAGCGGCCGTTAACTGACAAATGCAGTAATTAGCGTCTCCTTTTTGGAGGAAGCAAACACCACACAGAGCGTTAGGCTCTAAGCTAAAGCAAATGCACGTTTTCCCAAAAACCTGGACCTGAATGCTGCTGGCTTTCTGCTTATCTAGGTTATGCCTAGAAAGATGTACATTTCTGTTTTTCTGGAATGGGTTGAAGCACATACAGACATCGCAGGAGTTTCCAAAAAAAAAAAATGAGGCGTGACTTGCTGAAGCCCAGGTTTCCATAAGCATAATCTGTGCTCGATGCACAAGCTCACACTTGCGTGCACGTGCTTTGGGAATTCAGCGGCACGTGTCTAAGCGTATATTCAGTCAAATCCTAAACAAACGTTGGGAGATACATCCCAGCATTAGACTCACATTTCATATCAACTAGATGATCTTTGAGGTCCCTTCCAACCCTAACCATTCTATGATTCTATGATTCATCTGGCCAAAAGGCTTTCTGGTTTCAGGTTAAAACCCCTAAGACCCTGCATATCATCAGAAGGAAACCTGTCCCTTGGGTTGGAATTGCTCAGGACATGATGCTATTGGGTTTCAGAAGATCGTTTTCCCTGTTCCCTGTTTTCTCTGCTGTCTACAAGCTTCCTGT